TGGTGGAAAGAGAGGAGGAGGATGGGGAGGAGGAGCAGGGTGCGGAGGAAGAGGATGAGGGGAGGAGGGGAAGGGGGAGGAGGAGGGGGGGTGGAGGAGGTGGAGGTAGGATGACGAGGAGGAGGAAGACGAAGCAGACGAGGAGGAGGATGAGGAGTAGGAGGAGTAGGAGGAGGAGGAGGAGGAGGAGGAGGAGGTGGAGGAGGAGGAGGAAGAGAAGAGGCGGACGCGGAGGAGGAGGAGGTGGAGGAGGAGGAGGAGCAGGACCAGGAGGAGCAAGAGGAATAGCAGGAAGAGGGCGAGGATGCGGAGGAGGATAAGGAGGAGGAGGAGGAGGAGGAGGAGGAGGAGAAGGAGGAAGCGGAGCAGGAGGAGGAGGAGGCGGAGAAGGAGGAGGAGTAGTTTCTGTCGTAGGAGGAGGACGAACCTGAGGATGATGATTACGATGGGGATGAGGATGAGGTTGGGGATGCGGATGAGGACGATGATGGTGTCGTTGCTGATGGTGATGATGATGATGCTGATGATGATGATGATGATGCTGATGCTAATGCTAATGCTAATGATGATGCTGATGCTGATGCTGATTCTGGTGGTGGTGGTGATGCTGATAATGATGATGCCGATGATGAGGAGGAGGAGGAGGAAGAGAAGAGGACGAGGAGGAGGAGGAGGAGGATAGGGCAGAAGAATGAGGACGAGGAGGAGGTTGTGAAGAAGAAGGAGAAGAAAAAGAAGGAGGAGGAGGAGGATGGACGAGGATGCAGTAAGGCAGCAAGTGCAGGCATCGCCTGTGCACAGACGCAGCTCGGCTATGCTATCAGGAGCAGCACGGTTCTGGGTATGCCGAGCGGACCTCGCCGCCAGGCCTTTCCCAGCCCCGCCGAAAATCGGTTTGCACTGCGCCCTGGGACCTTTGGGCGGTCGAAGTGGGTACGGAAAGAATGGGTACAATGCCCAACAACAAATGTTGTCCCAAACCAACAGCGGCCGCTCTTGGGCAGGCGGCCTTCTGTTCCAAATGGACACAGGCCGCGGCGACACCGACAGCGAGTCCTGTTCAGAATGAACAGGAACTGCTGTTGGGCACGGTACCCATTCTTTCCGTACCCATTTCGGGCGTCCAAAGGGACGGCTTGCCCCGTGAGCGGACACGAGGCCCCACGGGGTTTACCACCTCCCACCAGACCACCCCAACCCAACCCGAAGGCCCCGATTTCCCCTCCATTTCCAGCGGTGGTGGGGGATCGGAGAACATGGGGAAACCACATATGAGGCCCGTACCCCCCCCCAACCCGAAATCGGGGTCTTCGGGTTAGGTTGGGGTGGTCTGGTAGGTAGTCAGTTTACGTGGCACGCGCCACCACCTCTCACTGAAGCCGCAAATCCCTGGGGGCCGCCTCGGAACACCATTGGCGCCTGGCGGTCGCCGCCACGAGCAGGGCAGGGCTGAGTCCGAGGGCCGGGCTACAACCCCGGATTAAAAAGTCCGGACCGCAGAGGTCGCGGAAACTCAGCGTGGACGGGCCTCGTTAGGCCGCGGGGCCCCGGCACAATGTTCCAGAGACCGCCATCGCGGAGTTCCGGTCCATGACTCGTCCCCTTTTCAGATAATAATCGCCAAATGGGGCGACGACTGGACATTCGCATTCCGCCAAATACTTCCCCCCAACAAAAAAACCAGTCGCTTCCCAGACGACCAGAAATTTTCAGAGGCGACCGGAAATTTGCGATTTCGCTCGAGACTTCCTCACACATGAAAATCCGGTCCGATTGTTGTTGGCTGGAAGTCGAGTCGTGGCTTGGACGATCTTATGCAGAGCGTGTCTGCTTCCTTTGGTGCCCGCGATTCTAAACACAACTTTTTCTGTCAGTGCTCCATGGTCTGCTGTGCCGTGCCAGTGTTCGGCGCGCTACCCGCTTTCGAAGTCATCTCGGAGACCATGTCCAACAGACCCCTCGAGTGTCCACGATCCAGGTCCAATCGGAGAGCGACGATGCAAACGGCCCTGGGCCGATCCGGACTTTCTAATCCAGCAGGTGGTGCACCCAACGACGGAGCCGGGCCCCCGCCGACAGGTGTCACCACGTCCACCCCCAGACCCAGTGCCCGCCGCGTTCCGCACCGAGACCAAGGGCCGTGCTGCACTCAACGACGAAGCCCACCCTACGCCGATACAGGTTTCGCAATGTCTACCCCCAGTCTCAGTGTAAAAACAGCTCGACTGTCCTTCACCCAGGCCATGGATGCATGCCGTGGCAGCGTGCCAACGGGATCGGGCTGGAAACCAGGATACGGTTACCCGCCCCACCCAGGGAAATGAAGGGCGAAGGGGAGGATGAGGATGAGAAGGATGAGGATGAGGACGAGGACGAGGACGAGGATGCGGATGAGGATGAGGATGATGATGAGCATGCTGATGACGCTGATGTTGATGATGATGATGATGATGATGATCATGATAATGATGATGGTGATGCTGATAGTGCTGATGATGAG